CCCCCCCCCCCCAAAAAAAAGAGCCCAGCCTGGGCAACTTAGTGAGAGCTAACCTCAAAATGAAAAATAAAAGAGCTGGGGATGTAGCACAGGTTGAAGGCCCCCAGTCCCTAGTACCACAGCAAAACAAAAACATCACCTAAACTTTCTAGAAATTTTTAATGTAATGGTTGTGCTACTTACAGCTTTAAACCCCTATATAGTGAGGACTCAGTAAGTATTTACCCAACTTAAATCTGTTGAATGCCTGCCTTTTAGGCATCCACCAATCTACCATCCACCACATCCACCAATTTCAGATGTCTCCTTCTAGACCAGGTGTATAAAGTAAATACAAAATGCATTCCCTAACTTCAAGGCGTAATCACAGTTTAGCCAGAGGGTCAGCATGCACTGTAGAATGAATGGACACGTGCTAGAAAGAAACAAGCCCAGTACTGTGACACAGACATGGAAATACTTCGCTTTTCTGAGGGAAGGACAAAAGCTTTTCCTTCAAAGTCGAGTAGAATCTGATAGAGATTATGAAAGTGGAAGACAAAAACCCTGAACGTGGGCCACTTCCACCATCCATTTATATGGGAAAAGGAAGTGTAAACATCTAAACTCCGTAAGGCTTTGCACGTTTGCAGTGAGGTTTGGTCACCACGATAGATACGTATTCTTGAGGTTAATGAATCTTTTTCCCTGCAGATGTCACTCATGATGACCATCATCAATTTGGCTCAGAATTTCGTGGGCAGCAATAATCTGAACCTCTTGCAACCTATTGGTCAGTTTGGTACCAGGCTGCACGGTGGCAAGGATTCTGCTAGTCCTCGATATATCTTCACAATGCTCAGGTGAGTATCCTTTCGATTTCTAGTGAAATTGCTACTTCTAATGTTGAAGCAGTGTGAGATCAAAATTTTTAAAAATTAAATTTATTAGGGGATACTGGCTTCTAGTGAGGCCGGGGGTGCTGCTATAAACACCCTACCAGATACAAGTTAGCTCCTCACAGCAAGAATTACTGCTTGGCATGGTGGTACACACCTGTAATCCCAGCAGTCTGAAGGTTGAGGCAGGAGGATCACTGTGAGCTTGAGGCCAGCCTGGGCTCCATAGCAAGGTCAAGGGCAGCCTGAACTACATAGTGAGGCTCTGTCTCAAAAACAAAAAATATCTAGCCCAGATTGCCAACAGTGCCAAGGTTAGAAAACCTTGAGGTAGAATTTAGATCTATGAAAACATTGGTTCTTCCTCAATATCACAATTAATATTTTACTTCCTCTATTAGTTTCTAGGAAGTATGTTACGAATGGTTAATTTTCACTTCTCACCTTCAACCTTTCAGCAACATTCAGCAGTTATTAATGACTACCTCCTTAAAACGCGTCTTCATTTGGCCTCTGTGACAATAGATTCCTGGTCCTCCTCTTCCTTATTAACCTTTGTTGGGTTCTTCTCTGGCCTCCCATTGATTGTTTTTTTTTTTTTTTTTTTTTTTTTTTTTGGTCTTTCTCCGGTACCGGGAACTGAGCTCACGACCTTGCGCTTGCCAGGCATGGCCTCCCATTGAATTCTGGCCTGTCCCAGGGATCCTTCAGCTACCTTTCTGCTAGCTGTATTCGATTCCCGAGTGACCTCCCACCCATCCAGTCTAATACCTTTAAATCTCTACAGTCCTAGCCTGGCATGAGAGCACAGACCTGTAACAGACTTAGGCAGGAGGATCACAAGTTTGAGCCCAACCTGTGCAGTTTTGCAACATAGCAAGACCCTATCTTAAAACTGAAAATTTTAAAAAGGCTGGAGATGTGGCTCAGTGCAAAGGCTCTGGGTTCAGTCTCCAGTGCCATCACCAAAAAACCAAATTGCTTTCCTGACCTCTCTTCAGAACTCTGACAGGCTATAGTATCTGATTAGCCCCTTAAACATTTCCCACATAGCTATCTAGTAAGTTCCTCAAACACAAGTCCAAAGCCAAATCCTTCCTGCCTTTGTAATGGAATTCTATGCTTCTGTTCACTCAGGCTAAAAACTTTGGAGTCACCATTGGCTCCTTTTCTTTTTTTTTTTATGGAAAAAACTGGAACAAAATGTCATTCCACCCAATTCATTAGCAAATCCTATAGGCTCTGTACTGGGAAGAACTAAGCCACCCCTATCTCATGTAAGCTATTGTCATATAATGTGCTATCCTTTCTCGTAGTGGCCATTAATTTTTCAAAATAGGTCATTGTGGGTCAGAACCTTCCGCCTGCTCATTCAGAGTGAATTTAGCTAACCATGCTTTATATGATCTGTGCCCCATCACACATATATTTTCCTTCTTTTTCATACCATCTCCCCTGCAGCTATTCTGCCTGAGCCTTTACTCAGACGTGCCAGGCACTCCAGTCTGTAACACTTTGTACAGATATCCACATGGCTCTTTTCCCCAGGTTTTTTTTTCTTCTTCTATTCAAATATAGTCCTGTCAAAAAGGGTTTGATTTTTCTCAGCACGTTTTATTTTTTTCTTAAGAAAGAAAAGACAAAGAGACAGGGTCTCAGTGTATTCCGAGGCTGGCCTCATAATTCCTGGGCTCAAGCAATTCTGCCTCCTGAGTTGCTAGCGCTGCAGGGACACATGCTGCTCACTCCTACCTAATTTTCTTCTAAGGCTAAGTACCCTACCAGTTAACAAAATGTATATTCAGTACTTTTGTAAAATAATATCCTTGCTGGGTGTGGTGGCGTACGCCTGTCATTCCAGCACTCGGGAGGCTGAGGCAATAGGATCATTGCAAGTTCGAGACCAGCCTGGGCTACAAAGTGAGCTCAAGGCAAGGCTGAACTGCATAGTGAGACCCTGTCTCAGACAATAAAATAAAATAATATATTTGATCTTTTTCTTTAGCCCTTTGGCTCGGTTGTTATTTCCACCAAAAGATGATCATACGTTGAGGTTTTTATATGATGACAACCAGCGTGTCGAGCCCGAATGGTACATCCCTATCATACCCATGGTGCTAGTGAATGGTGCTGAAGGGATCGGCACCGGCTGGTCCTGCAAAATCCCCAACTTTGATGTTCGTGAAGTTGTAAATAACATCAGGCGTTTAATGGATGGAGAAGAACCTTTGCCAATGGTAACTATTATGAGTGTTAGGAACCCCGTTTTCCCGCTGGATTCAGTTGATTGGACTGTATGACTAAAGAGGATGCGAATTTATTTCACCTCTTACATTTATTGTTGAACACTATCTTAGTTACTCCCTTGTTGCTGAAACAAAATACCTGACACCAACAAGTTAAAAAGGAGGAGAGGTTTATTTTTAAACCATAAGTTAACAGGAGGCTCACAGTTTGTAGAAGTTTCAGTCCAGTCGGCTGCTGCAGGGCAAGGCAGCGTGACAGAGGGGCCTAGTAGAGGAGAAACAGTTGGTCCCAGGCAGAAGGCAGCAAGCAGCAAACCTTCCTTTTCCTTTTTTTATTGCATCCAGGCTGCAAGCCTATTGGTTGGTGCCACCCACACCCACAGTGGGGCTTCCCTCTTCTGTAACCCTATCACCCCAACTATCCTAAACCATTCAGAGGACTGATCCCATTATCACACACCCACGATCCAGCCACCTCCCAAAAGCCCCACCTGTGAGTGTAAGCCATAAACACTTCGATTCCTTTCTTTAGTGTCATATTTAGAAAGCTTTTTTTTGCAGGTTGTTTTTTATTTTGTCTATGCTCTAAAAATGCATTTACTTTTAAAATCAATTCTTTTGTTATTAAATTAGCTGTAATAAATATGCTAACAGTTCATACAGTAGAAAACATTCTTATTTTAAATACCACTTTAGCTTCCAAGTTATAAGAACTTCAAGGGTACTATTGAAGAGCTGGCTCCAAATCAATATGTGATTAATGGCGAAGTAGCTATTCTGAATTCTACAACCATTGAAATCTCAGAGCTTCCCATCAGAACATGGACCCAGGTAAGTAATTGTGGCTTTCTTTCTTGATTCTGTGGTCAGAAGACTTTTTTGCACTGCCGTTATTAACTATTGAGGAGACTCATTACAAAAGGGTTGTTTATTTCTTTAGACGTATAAAGAACAGGTTCTAGAACCCATGTTGAATGGCACCGAGAAGACCCCGCCTCTTATAACAGACTATAGGGAATACCACACAGACACCACCGTCAGGTTTGTTGTGAAGATGACCGAAGAAAAACTGGCAGAGGCAGAGAGAGCCGGACTACACAAAGTCTTCAAACTCCAAACCAGCCTCACCTGCAACTCTATGGTATGTCTTACCGTATGAAAGATACGTGCTTCGGCTTATATTAAAGTTTAATATCAATTTTTAAAGACATCTTTGGCTATTTTTTGTAAGTTTTACTGAACTTATCAGCTCACAGCTCTAATCTTCTCCTTCTGCAGGTGCTCTTTGACCATGTAGGCTGTTTAAAGAAATATGACACAGTGCTGGACATCCTAAGAGACTTCTTTGAACTCAGGCTTAAATACTATGGATTAAGAAAAGAATGGCTCCTGGGAATGCTTGGTGCTGAATCCTCTAAACTGAACAATCAAGCTCGCTTTATCTTGGAGAAGATAGACGGCAAAATAATCATCGGTAATGTTTTTGTAATTCTGTCTACTAAAAACGAAGTTATGCTCATCTTTCATTAAACATCTTGGCTGAGAGTGAGGGTGGGAGTGGGGACAGAATGCATTCAGCTCACCTGGTTGCTCATACAAGAATGTCTAAGATAATCTGATTAGGCTTTTATATTTTGAAAGAGAAGCCTTTCCAAAATTGAGCAATTTTTTTCTTGTGCCAGAAATTGAACCCAGAGCCTTGCACATGCTAAACATGTAGTCTGCCTCTGAGTTACAGCCCCATCTCCAGACTGTGCATCAAGCTTTATTTGCCACTTGGACAGGAAGAAAATAGCTGGAAGACCTTATCACACAAGAGAGTTAAGTGAGCCGGAAGAAGAATTTTGACAGAGGCTGGAGGATAAGGAAGGTTAAAAGAAATAGCTCAGAGCCAGTGTGCTGCCATGTGCCTGTAAGCCCAGCACCTCAGGAGTTTGAGGCCAGCCTGGGCTCTATAGCAGGACTGCGTCAGGGAAAAAAAAACAGGAGAGAAGAAAGGAAGAGAAAGGGCAGAGCTGGGCTCCGCCCAGAGCTAACGAGAAAAGCAGCTAATTTTAATGAGTTACAGTAGCAAGTCCCGAAACACAGTACCACAAGCTACGAGTGAGCAAAGGCTCACTTTCTGATGGTGCTCAAGAGTGTTTAGCTTGATGAGCACATGTTTCAGTATGTATTTAAAGAACCACCATATCAGCCTTCTTACGTCACAGATACTGCTTAAGGCAAAGCTAAAAAGTGTTACTGGACAGGACTTGAAGGAAAAAGAAACTTCTTCCTGGCTGGCATTAGGAAATTCTGGGGACTGTACAGTCTTCTTAAAGAACAAAGGTCTAAACGTGTGCCCAATTTCAAATTAACTGAAGAAATATGGTATAATAGTCACTTTCCCATCCCTGGGACAAAAGTACCTGACACCCAGAACTTAAAGGAGGGGAGACTTACTTGGTTCACAGTTTCAGGGGGTTCTGTCCATGGCCAGCTGGCTCTGAGCCAGGAGAGGCAGGCCAGAGGGGCTCAGCACAGGACGGCCGCTCACTCGTGACAGCCCGGACACAGAGAGAGGTAGGAGGAGCCTATCCAGTGACCACCCCCAGCCAGGCACCATCTCCTCACAATACTTGCGCTCTCCACAGCGGCTTCATCCATGGTGCCCTCATGATGCACTCCCCTCCCAAAAGCCCCACCTGTGAACACAGGAAAGTTTTGGGAGACATTCTAGATCTCAGCCATAACAGCCAGTACTCCAAAACCCTTGATAGCGAGTGACTCTCGCTGTCCCTCAAGTATAATAAATTAACCACTGAATACTGAAAGAGAGATAATGCCAAAAGAGGGAATGAATGTATCATGGAGGACCATGATGAAGACAGTATTGCTGATGTTTGGGTGACTGGAGCTGAAAATTGGCCCAATCAAATGTTGAAATAGCAAGCTGGAGCTGGGTATCGTCCCTCACATCTGTGATCCCGGCACTCAGCAGGCTGAAGCAGGAGGATCGCTGTGAGTTTAAGATCACTCCTGGGCTACATACAAGACCTTGTCTCAAAAAAAAAAAAAAAAAAAAGAAATTAATAAAGCAGGAAACATAAGTGAGGGATAGGTATATGAAAAATCAAGGTTTAAGCCGAGCATGGTGGCACACACCTGTAATCCCAGTACTCAGGAGGCTGAGGCAGGAGGATCGTTGCAAGTTTAAGACCAGCCTGTGCTACACAGTGAGCTCAAGGCCAACCTGAAGTACATAGCGAGACCCTGTCTCAAAAAGACAAAAAAATTTTAAAATAAAGGTTTTAATTCCCTTCATTTAAAAGTTATGACTAGATCACAGCTTCATTTATGATTTGACTTCCCCCTTGTAATTTACTTTTGTTACTGATTTAGGGAAAATAATTCTTCTCTAAACCAGGATGTACAAATTACACAAAACAGTTTCATCGGTGGTTTTAATATTTTGACTTAATGTGGTAAAACCTTGTCCATTTCCTGAGGTCTTAACTCAAAACCATTATCTCTGTTTACATTTTTTTAATAGAAAATAAGCCTAAGAAAGAGTTAATTAAAGTTCTGATTCAGAGGGGATATGATTCAGACCCTGTGAAGGCCTGGAAAGAAGCCCAGCAAAAGGTAGTGACTTGGTCTGCACACCTGTTAGCCCCACGTGTGTTTGCGTTTCATGTCGCCTGTGAGTTCTGCATTTTCATGTGCGCTCCAGGTTCCAGATGAAGAAGAAAATGAAGAAAGTGACAGTGAGAAGGAGGCTGCAAAGGGCGACTCTGCAACAGACACTGGGCCAACCTTCAACTACCTCCTCGACATGCCCCTCTGGTACCTGACCAAGGAAAAGAAAGATGAGCTGTGCAGACAGAGGAATGAGAAGGTGGGGTGCTGACCACACAGCGGGGCGGGGCGTTAGGCTTTAGTACCGCGCCCGTGGGGGGAAAAAGAAAATGCTGTTGCGTGCTGCATAGCTGCATACTGACTCAGCTTTCTGGTAATCTCTAAAGGAGCAAGAGCTGGATACATTAAAGAAAAAGAGCCCGTCAGATCTGTGGAAGGAAGACTTGGCTGCTTTTATTGAAGAACTAGAGGTACAGTTTGTAATGCCCATTTTAAAAGTTTCATCAAGGAGATAATGTATCCCAGCAACATACCTCCTTTACAGAAACTTCAAAGATGACAATAGAATATAGAAAGCCTAAGGATATATTCCAAAATAATATAAAAGAGTAATTATTAAATACTATTTAGAATAAAGGAAATAAATGATGCCAAAAAACATCACTCTTTTTAAAAAAAAAAGCAGGGGCTGGGGATTTAGCTCAGCGGCACAGCGTCTGCTGGGCAAGCGCAAGGTCGTGAGTTCGATTCCCGGTACCAGGGAAAAAAAGAAAAAAAAATCACTATACACAAGATTTTTGATTTCTGTTTTGTTTTTGTGGTAGTGAGGATAGGACCAGGAGGTGCTCTATCACTGAGCTATATATATCTCCAGCCTTCTATCCCTTTTTTATTTTTATACTATATTTTGAAAGAGGTCTAAATTACTCAGGCTGACTTTAAATATTCAGTCCTCCTCCCTCAGCTTGAGAAAAACAAAGGAAAGACAGGATTGACTTTTATAAAATCAAGTAGAAAGCACCCCTTAGGACTGAGAAGAGGGCCGGGGATGTAGCTCAGCAGCACAAGCACCTGCCTGGCAAACGTGAGGTCCTGAGTTCGATTCCCGGTACCAAAACCAAAAAGGACTGAGAAGATGAGAGAGCTTAAATGCAGAAGTGAACCAACCCAGCCCCTAGGTCTGCATAGGAGGACAAAGCCAATTTATTTTCAGGGCTGGACAGTTGCATAAGTTTCAAAAGATCCTTTCTTACTTAAAACTCCGGAAAACACTTGTTTATCATTGTTTTTTCTAGAGGCTTTAAGTCTTCTTTTATTTTTTTTTGGTGGTACCAGGAATCAAACTCATGATCTGCATGCTTGCCAGGCAGGCACTATGCAGCTGAGCTATATCCCCAGCCCAATGTTTTTTCTAACATAAGAAAAAAATCTGATTCTACACGTTAAATTTAACGTACAAATTAATATTTCTGCTGTTCAACATAGATGTCTGATCCTCAGAATCAATTGATTAGAATCAATTGATTAGATATGTGTATGTACATATTTTATCCTTAGATCATAATTTCCCCTTTTTTACCTGCAGAACAGGTAAGTGATAGAATTCCTCAAAAAAAACTGATCTTCTGCCTCTACAGCTGGCTGTTCAAAGTGTGCCTCAAAATTACATCTTTACTATTGATGATGTGCTTGTTTATGGAACAGCTTGTCACAAATTTATCTTCAGATGTAACAAACTTAAATCAGTGTAGCTATTGCATTTTAGTTGTTACAGGTTTTCATTACCTTCTAAACTTGCTTTCATAATTAAAACCTTCCTGTAGGCTGTTGAAGCCAAAGAAAAACAAGATGAACAAGTAGGACTTCCTGGGAAAGGAGGGAAAGCCAAGGGGAAGAAAACACACATGGCTGAAGTTATGCCTTCTCAGCAAGGAGTAAGAGTCATTCCTCGAGTGACCACAGAGATGAAAGCAGAGGCAGAAAAGAAAATTAAGAAGAAAATCAAGGTGAATACTCCTGAAAACATTACACGTAAATACTTTAAGCATATTTATACTTAAAATTGAATTTCTAACCCCATGGTTTGAAATTTATCCTACATCTACCTGTAACTTTCTTAAGTACCTGATTTTTTTTTTTTTTCCTTTCTGTTTTTGAGACGGGGTCTTGCTCTGCAGTTCAGGCTGGCCTTGAACTCATTTTGTAGCCCAGGCTGGCCTCGAACTCACAGCAGTCCTCCTGCCTCAGCCTCCCAAGTGCTAGGATTACAGGTGTGCACCACCATGCCCAGCTTAGTACCTGATTTTTTAAATATTTAACTGTCTTGAAAAAAAACTGCATTCATACCTCTATTCAGAGCTCTTTCTCTTCTTTTTTTT